GTCTCGCTGCTGTCCAACGCGCTGGTGCTGCTCTGCCTGCTGCACAGCGCGGACATCCGCCGCCAGGCGCCCGCGCTCTTCACCCTCAACCTCACGTGCGGCAACCTGCTGTGCACTGTGGTCAACATGCCCCTCACGCTGGCCGGCGTGGTGGCGCAGCGGCAGCCAGCCGGCGACCGCCTGTGCCGCCTGGCCGCCTTCCTCGACACCTTCCTGGCCGCCAACTCCATGCTTAGCATGGCCGCACTCAGCATCGACCGCTGGGTGGCTGTGGTCTTCCCGCTGAGCTACCGCGCCAAGATGCGCCTCCGCGACGCCGCGCTCATGGTGGCCTACACGTGGCTGCACGCTCTGGCCTTCCCGGCCGCCGCGCTCGCCCTGTCCTGGCTTGGCTTCCACCAGCTCTACGCGTCCTGTACACTGTGCAGCCGGCGGCCCGATGAGCGCCTGCGCTTCGCTGTCTTCACCGGCGCCTTCCATGCGCTCAGCTTCCTGCTCTCCTTCATCGTGCTCTGCTGCACGTACCTCAAGGTGCTCAAAGTGGCCCGCTTCCACTGCAAACGCATCGATGTCATCACCATGCAGACGCTTGTGCTGCTCGTGGACATCCACCCCAGGTGAGGGAGGCCCAGGTGGGGGGCTCTGGGAAAGACTGCAGGGTGCAGGTTGGGCAGGCACCGAGGCTCCCCCGCACTACAGTGCCAAGCCCCTCAACCCCACGGAGCCTCAAGGTCCATCTCCGAAAGCTGGAGGGGTGGGAGAGGAGGGCAGAGGGGACAGTGCTGCCGGACCTCAGCCAGGTGCTCAGAGCATCAGAAAAGCAGGACCTAAGATATGGGTGAACCAGCATCCACTTGGATTTTCACAGGTGGAAATCACAGTCAGAACTTTTGCTGGACTTCCTTATGCTTATTTTATGTTGTGGCAGTTTTCACTTTAGATGGCCTGTGGCAGGGCACCCTGAGAGGGTGGACGGGAGGCTTTGCAAGCTCCTGAAGGCTCTGGGAATCGACAAGCTGCTCCTTCAGGGCTGTCCTTTCTATGTGTCTGTAGCTGCCTCCTCATTCTGTGTGTGCGTGCGCACTTGTGTGTGTGAGTGTGTGTGTGTGTGTCCGCCCCCCAGATGGGCTCAGGCTGCGCCTTCCCTTGTGGCCCCATGGGAGCGTCTGGTGGACTCTGGGGAGGGGTCTCCTCTGGCCTCAGGGACTGCTGTCCAGACTGGCAGCATGGAGGTCCCTGCAGAGAGTGTCCCTCCCAACGCTCCTGGGTCTCACCCTTCTACCTGCCATCCCTCACCTGACCCCCGTTTCTCAGGAAGGCAGTCGAGGTGGGCATCCCAACACAGGCACCCCAGGAACCTCTGCCATCCCTGAGGCACTCTTGGGAAAGAAGGAGGGAACGCAGCCCAGTGTCCTGAGCTCACCTCGGGTTTCCTGGTGAGAACAGGAAAGCAAAGAGGGAAGTGGCTGGCGGTGTCCCTGTCCCTGTGGACACCGTGCTGTGTCTCGTCCCACTGTACCAGTAAGAGACAAGGCTCCCCTCCCATGCCTGGAGCCCCAGGTCAGGGCTTGGCTTCTGGAAGGCATGGAAGGTGAGGCAGGCAGAGAGCACTGAGGGAGAAGAGATGGGGGGCATCCTGGGTGAGCAGAACCCAGAGAGTCCAGGGGGGCTGCATGAAGGGAGGCAGAGCAGTCCCCAAGGTGTGCATGTCCCCTCCAGGGAGGAGTGGGCTCATGGCGGAGGGGACAGACTGGACGCGTGAGCCTGAGCAGGGTCCTCTGGGTCTGAAGTTTTTGTGCCTGTAAGCAATGGAAAGACAAGTCCTTGAACTTCACCACGTCTGCAGTGGAAGCATGCATGTGTGTGTTAATTGTTCTAAGAGCGGCTGAAGCTTCTCGCCACCAGTTCTCCCCCAGAGAGTCGTGCACAGACACTTGCATTGAGTGACTAGGCACCTTGGCACCGGGGCTACGGACGCATGATGCCAGACATCTAGCCTCACACGCACATCCTGTATGTTCACGTGTAAACTGCACGCATGCAGACACATCATGACACACTGACACCAAGACCTGGCTGACCGCCATCGCGTGTGTCTCTGCAGGTCAACATCATGTAAACAGTCTGCAGCCACAATTGGCCCTTCCCATCAGTTTAAAAGCTGCATCTGGGGACTTGGACTGGGACTGCGCGTGGAGGGCGGAGGGCAGTGTCTTTCAGCCCTGGAAGCTGAAGGGCTTCTAGTGTGGGTCTTCTCGCCAGAAGTCTAACAGCAGAGGAGGGGCTGGGCTGGGAAAGAAATCAGTTCTTCTTCAGACCAGTACAAACCCCACCACTGCCCTCCATCCAGCTCCCAGTACAGGAGGGTTGGCGGTTCCTTCCAGCCCGTGAGGAGTCAGGGACTGCCCCCCTTCTGCAAATGTCTCTCTCCAGGCCAAACGCTGCAGAGAGAGTTCCAGGGGCTCAGGGGCAGAGGCGGCTGCTCTACTCATCTCCCTCAGAAAGGAACCCTAACTTTTCTTTGCCCAGGCTGCTTGGAGGGGCCCTGGTCCCAGCCTCCTGGGGCCCTTCAGGGCCAGGAAGCAGCATCTGTCTGCACAGCAGAGGGGAAGGGCTTCTGGGGCTAGGCACCCCCAGCAGCTCAGACAGGCCCCACTGGCCAGGGCTCCCTGCGGTTACCAGATGCGGGCATGCATCACAGCACTGCCGCTCCAGTGAGCACGCCCGCCACTCCCTGGGGGGCCGGTCCTCCCTGAGTGAGAGGTGGAGAGGTAGGCGGTGGGCACACAAAAGGGACCAGCTCCCTGGCAGCCAGTCCACAGGCTTCTATCTTGGCAGCTCCAAACGCTTCTGCCCCACAGACCGGAAGCCTCAGAACTAGCTCTGGGAAACTGCCCCAGCACCCCCAGGCCTTAGGCATCAGGGCTCTGGGCCCCAGGGTGCTGCAAGCCTGAGGGCCCCTGGGTGGCCAGTGCCTAGGCAGCAGAAGCCCAGTTCCTTTCTCTGCACAGACAGGTCAGTGTGGTGAAGTCTGCTCCCTGTAGCTTTACTTATCAGCCACCATACCGATGGCCTCCTGGGATGTAATTAAAAGGGACCCATCTCGAGTTCTCTGGGGTCCAGGGTGGGTTTGTCAGGAAGCTCCTGGTGGCTACAGTGCCCTTCCCAAAGACTGCTAACCTGGGTGAGTAGTGGGCAGCTTCCTTCTCTTCAGCCACCACCAGAAGATCAAGGACCTCTTTTTCTAATTCATCTGGGCTTCGGAGCCCCTGAGACACACTCCCCTCTCCTGCCTATCCGTGGTGGCTTCTTGAGCTCCTACATTTATGAAGCAGCTTGGAATTTCTCATCCTCATTCCCCACTTGGCCTACTGCTGCTCCGTTCGCTGTGTTCGGTGCTCACAGACCACAGCTCCAGACCCAGTCGGGCCAGGCCTTTCTCTGTTCTGCCAGGGGCTGACTCACCTCACGCAGCAGAGAAGTGGGGAGCTGGGCTCTACCGAAGTCCCGCTCCTCCTGGCATGGCCGAGGGCAGCTGCTCTGCAGCCTGGGAAATGGCTTGGAGAAGTAGAGGTACTGACATGGACTCAATGCTGAAGCAGCAATAACCTAACTGGATCTTCCTCCCAGGATCCCGAAGGCCCTGTAGGCCCTCCCAGGGTCTCCATGGCCTCCTGGTCAACAAGGTCCACAGTGGCTGTCTGGATGCTGACCCAGGAGGGTGTCGAGACTGCAGCAGAGCAGACTGGGGGCCCTTGATTACGCAGATGTGACTGGGGGACCCAGGGAAGGGAGGAACTTACCTAATTCAACAGCTCTAGAAAGTGGATCAAGCCAAGCCTCACACTCAGATCTGCCCCCAAAATTTACAGATGGGGGCGGCAGTGCGAACAGAGGCCTGCACACCACATGCAGAAATAGTCCAGACTTCTAAATCCGGCTTACAAACTGCTAAGCAAAATGTGTTCTCTCCTCCTACCCTGACACATCAGTCTTTATAACAACTGCAAGGCTCAGCTCAGACTTAGACGTCTCGGGCTCCCTGGAGTCCAGCCTGGTCCATGGGCGCGTGGGGAGAGCTGAACTGGCCCCAAGCTCCCCACCCACCTGCCTGACGGTCTCATCCTGGCCCTATCCGGCACGTGGAAACCAGGCAAGCCCCAGAGTTTAGGGAGGAATGGTGTGGCTCCCCGCTAGGAGGACTGGACGGGGAGTCAGGTGGCTGGGTCTTAGCCTTGCCTGCACCCCACTCCCTGGGTGGGAAAGTCCTTCTCTTCTCTGAGCCTCTGTTTCCCCAGCTGTGAGCTGGGGTGGGCGGATGAGAGGACCCCTCATACGGCGAATGACTGTGTGTCTAGCCACCTGCCTAGAGTAGAGATGTGACCCCAGGCCCAGCAGCCTCCACATCGAGTCACCCTCTGTGCCCCACATCATGCCAGGTGCTGTTACAGACCAGGAAGCAGCATCCGCCTGGCCCCTGGGGCCCAGAGGGGCCACAGAGCCAGCCAGGACCCGAGCTCAGGCTCCTGGCTGCACGTAGGCTCCTGCTGCTCCTTTGTGGAGGCCGCTGGCTGTAGCGCCTCTCTCATAAAGACACAGGGCAGGAAGAGAAGGTTAGCGGGAGGGAGCCCTGTGGAGCCGGGGCTTCAAGACAGTGCTGGAACATACTCATTGTCCGGTAAGTCTATGTGGAATGAATAGTGATAAGGATTAAATGTATCGAGGGCTTACTGTGAGTCAAACACTGTCTTAGGTGCTTTGTTAATTTCAAAACAACCCCACAATCCCTTATGACTCCCATTTTTGAGACGAGGAAGCTGATGCACAGAGAGGCTGTGTAACTTGTCTCAGGCCACACAGCAATTAAGTGGTGGTGCCTAGATTTAAGCCCAGCAGCATGGCTCTGGCGCCTGGTGCTTAGCCACTACGCTATTGATGAAGAGAGGTGCCAGCCCAGTGGAAGCTTTGCAGGGCCTGCATCCACTACAATCCTTTTGTCTGGTAGGCTTGATGTTTTTAAGGCTCACTTTCAAAAAATCTAAAACACCTCCCTGGCAGGGTTGTGGTTAAGCTAATATGTAGAGAGCGTGACAGTGTGGGGCTGGCATGGAGCAGGTGATTAGTAATGGGACAAGTAATAAAAAGCTAAATTTATTTGCATTTGCTTTATTTGCTGTGCAAAGTGCTTGATGTGCCTTATGCATTGAATGCATTGCACGCATGCATGCACTTTCTGCACTTAAATCCTACACCGCTCGCGGCGGCATATTGTTATTATTATCCACGTTGCACGGTTGGTGACTTAGCGATGTCAAGCTCCCACAGCTACAGGCAAGACTTGCCCCTGGATCACTGACGGGGTAGCCACGTTCCCACACGAGGGCCACCGCCTGTGTTGATGACTCGTGACTGCCTGCCCTGGCCCACGTGGGCCCTGTGTCACCTGCTCCCCGTCTCTCACGTGCAGTGTGCGGGAACGCTGTCTGGAGGAGCAGAAGAGGCGGCGGCAGCGGGCCACCAGGAAGATCAGCACCTTCATCGGGACCTTCCTCGTGTGCTTTGCACCCTATGTGATCACCAGGTGAGCTGCCTGCCGGGCGTGGGCAGGGGCGTGCGTCACAGGTGCTGCTGGGTGGGGTGGGTGGGCACAGGGGCAGGGAGAGCCCAGCAGAGTCCCACGATGGTTAGCAGGCACCTCTCTCGGCCCCACACTGCTCCTGAAGTTGCGCTGGGGGCGAGGGGGAACGCGACACATTTGGTGCGAAGGAGGCTCGTGTTTTCCTCTTTAGCCTCAAATGCGTTTTAATTAGACGCAGAACCAAAATGGTCGTGTAAGACTCTTTCACACTCAGCTTCCAAATCAAACCACTCTGCCCCCTTGCCCACTTGGCCATCAAGCCCCCGTAAGGC